GTGGCGAAGAGGATAAATGTAAAAGTAAAAAAGTAAACTGAAGTTCTTGTCACCCACCCACCATATTGTCCTTTTATTTGCTTTACTCTTTTGATTATTCTTTCTTTTGACAATGTTTTTAAACATTCCTAAGATACATTTTCTAAAACTTTACACCATCTTAGTACACCCTCCTTCACTTTTTCTATTGCTATATTTTAAATCCTACATAATCTGACTACCTGACCATGTGCAGGTAGCTCTCCTATCCCACATCTATGTTGCAGTTCCAATCAAGTACACTGACTACACCATTGGTTTCATCAATATGATTCACAGGTAAAAATTATTCTTTTTTACCAATAATGATAACCGATTCATGTTTCCTGCGTACATTAGTTTCTCCATTCTTTTCCCCACTCCATCACACTCAAATTTTTATTTCTCCCTCTTCAGCACAAACCTGTTTCAGTCACACACACTCAAAATTTTACATATGTTTTTTAGAACTAACAGTCAGCTGAAAAGTATTAGTTTAACAATAAACTACTGTACATAAATACTGAAACAAACAGGAACACAAACACAAAGGGTTATGGTCATGTTGGCACCTGATATCTGTATAGTATAATGGTAACAGCTTTAACTTTCATTACTCCATTATATCTATATTATGTGTATTAAATTTGTTCTTTCCTATAATAAAATAAACTGCCCTAAATATTTCAGCTAATAGTTTTTCAGTATTGAATTTCAAATAACAACAGTAGGGTTGATAAGAATTCAAATCTGTTGTCAGTGTTACATGCTGTCTTCACATTTCATTCACAAAACTCTTTAGTGGAGCAGCAGAGTAGTATTAGTAGGAACAGAAGGATGTTAAAGTGAATTTCACTGGTCTTGTTACCCAAAAAATACATAAGAGTGGATTAAAACATTAGATGAAACTATGTTTCATTTAAAGCTGATTATTTAGTAAGGCTAGTGTTGACCATGATGTTAATTCACTTTCTGAGACTGGAACAAGAGCAATCTAAACATATTTGCCTCAGACGATTAAATTTGTAACTTTTAACAGACTCTTTCAAATCTAGCCATCTACTTTTTACTAATATGCTGATCACAAATCATCTTACATCCCCACCACATATACTGTATGTCATCACTTGCAAATAAGAGTTTACTCAGTTTATTCACTCTCTTTATAGTCTTTGAACTTTCATATACCAATCTTGCAGGCACAACTTTCACTGACAGCCTGTCTGCATGTTTTTTTATGGAGCTTATTGCCAAAGTTTACTTACCACAGTCCTATCTCATGCTCCATATGCACTCGAATCTTTGCAACCACCAAGCGAATTATTTTGGGGGATGTAACCCTCTAATATAAATAACTTTACTACAGTACTACATTGTATTATTGGATGCCCACATGTCTAGAACAATGAAGACTGGCCAGGGCTTTTTTCTGGCAATTATATTAAAAAAAAAAAAAGACGAAAAATATAAAACAATGGCTCAGTGAAGAAGCCATTCAGAAACATTATAGTACTGTATTGTAATGATTTTTCCACAACTTTTAGAGTTTTATTATAAGTAACAAAATATGAGGTGACTGAGCTGGCAAGTCTACAATGTAGTTATAGCCAAGACCTTGGTTATAGCCCACTGCCTCTACACACACACACATTCACATCCCACATAAACACACTAATGTTCTTCCTTTTCTTATTTTATAGTTTTATATTACTCTATAGTTTCTTTACTTTGTAAGCCACATTAGAGTACTGTATTGTAATGATTTTTGACAACTGCTATGGTTTCATTACGAGTAACAATAAACGTGACGGCTGAGCTGGTGGTTCGGCAAAGTAGTGATCGCCCATCACCTCCAAATATTTTCAGTTACCACACATACACACCCATGCTCTTCATTTTTCTTATTTTAAATATTTTTTTTTTATTTTCTTTATTTTTAAGCCACATCATTAATATACATAGAGTGGAATAAGTGTTCAAGAAATCCGTTTTTCTGTGACACGAATTTGCAACATCAGCCTGTAGCACTGTGCATTGTAGGATTTATTGGGAGATCCTAGGAGTGAGTTTCAACTAACCAGAAAAACTCTTTATCCAGCACCTCTCAATCCCCGAAGATGCTGGATTACTGAGATTCTACTGTACTTCTTTATGTGATCGAGATATAACAATAACACTTATCTGATCTCTCCCTATGCTTTACTATTTATGAACAAGGAGAGGAGAGTGTACTGCTGGGACAAAAGTTTTGGTATAAAGGAATTTCCACTACAGGTACTCTGAACCACCCATTGAAATAATCAGTCTGATAAAGTGTGAAAAGACAAAATTATTATTTGTCTCAATATTTGTGTGCTAACTACAATAGAAACTCCCCAAAAAAAAAAAAAAAGGCTTTAGTTTCCATTGACTTCCCATATTACTTGGTTTGTGTTGTTTGGCAAAAATTTTTATCCTTAATTTTCTCCAAGAAAACACAATAAGAAGTAAGTATAAAAAATCTAAATAGCTAGTGAAAATATTAAGCAAAAGGAACAGTAAAAAAACAATAACCGTGGGTGCTGCATGTGGCTTGATGCTCTGTGCAAGAATTTTTCTTGTAGAGAAATTAAGCCCACACTGAAACACTATACTTAGTAAATGCAAACCCTCAACCTTCACATATGCTCCCCTCAAAGGAAATTATGTACAGTAACTTGCATTAAAAGACTAGTTGGCAATAAATGATGAACTTGAAAAGGTAAGCCAGTTAATCCTCTTATCAAAAGAATATATATATATATATATATATATATATATATATATATATATATATATATATATATATATATATATATATATATATATATATATATATATATATATATATATATATATATATATATATATATATATATATATATATATATATATATATATATATATATATATATATATATATATATATATATATATATATATATATATATATATATTTATTTTACAGTGTAAAATAAAAAAAAATAACAATGGTAATATTGTACTGTATATTGAAAAAAAAAAAAAAGGATTCCTAACAGTATCATGTCATATGTCATTCACTAAACAGTTGTGTAAACATTGGCAATTTTCTACCCATTAATTCTATGAGCATTTCTTTCCTGTTTTCTAATGAAAATTGCCTGCCTAAAAATAACCTTGTACAAAAATTTAATAGAGAATTGGCAATACCAAAGTATGACTGCCATCAGCAAAATAGTATGGTGAAACTAAAGAAGTTAGTTATACTGTACACTATAGTATTCCCTTTCATATTAAAAAAAAAAAAAAAAGCTGTAAAGAAAGTCTACAAATTTTACATTTCACTTATCAGATGTGAATTTATATCTGCATCAGATTATTTTTAATTTATTATTCAAGTCATAGGAAGTGTGTGACACAAAACAGAGATGTTTTGTAAATTATAAGATAGTATAAAGAAGATATAACACAGCTTTACATGATTTCCACTTGTTGAAATGACCAGCACAGTTTAGATAACTGTTAATTATGGAACACTACCAGACAGACAGATACGCATTAAACAGTTAACTTTTACTTGCCTTTTATTATAAACTTCCTAACACATTTTGTGCTTGTAGTAAGGTGGTATATTATGCACTCACAAGGCGCTTCTTGTCCACTGTCTCAATGATCAGAGGGCATAGCTTTGTTGAGACAACACAAGGCCCTAAGTATGATTTTGTCAGTCCTAATGCCACTCTCCAGAAAGATGCCCTCAGATAGGCAACAAATAATTTGTTCAGTATCTCACCTCTACTGTGAGGGTGCACACACAATATTGCCCGTGCTCATGCCAACGTGGCTCAGAAACAGATTCTTGATGTTCAAATTACTCTGAGCAAATCAAATGAAATGGCAGTAAAGTTTCTAGCCTCGGTGGCAATGTAAGAGTCTCTTAGTGATTTTTGAAGCAGTAGTACCTCTAGATCTTGTTGGGAGGTGGATGGAAGTGAGGAGCCGCTTCAGGATGTGAGGCAGTCGAGTACGGGTACTGTGAGGAGCAAGTGCCGAGCAGTGCCGTGGCGCCAAACTCCCCGGCCTGACCATGACCGCTTTCCATTTACAAGTGAAAGTGGAGTCAATTTATGTTACTGGCCACAATTACATTTTGGGGAAATCTCTCCACTCTTCAAGATACTGACAGTGAAATACAGAAATATGCATAAAACAAGTGGAAACCATAAGGGCTTGTCAGAAGATGAACCCAAAAGAATGTACAGTACAGTACAAATGCAGCTGCATTTGAATTACCATCATTAGATCAGGCACATCTCCATAGTATTTGTCAATAACAACTTTCTTACAACAGAGATTACAGAATTTGAGTTCTTAAAACAAAAAGGAAAAATAGAAAGAAATGGAAATGTGCAAAAATAAGTTGGGTTATAAGAAAAATAATGAACATCTTGAGACAAAGAAAAAATTGATAAATTGACTAAAAGTAAAAGCAATTGTACAATTATCACTGGCACTTTTGATAAGTAATTTTGCATACACAACTTCAATTCTTTTTCAAAATGGGAAGAAAACTGAAGAAAGATTTATAGCAGAAGCTAATTGAAATTTCTACTTTATTGCACTCATAAATGAACAGATAAATCTTTAAAATACACTCTCTTACTGGTCACAATTATGAAACTAATTTTTATAGCGGATACTTTTGAGGAGTCCACAATTTTGGCCAATACAGTATAAGTAAATTAGTGCCATTATTTTTCTGAAACTTAGTGAAGATACATGTACAATTAAAAATATCTTCCCAAAAAGTACAGTACTGTTTACAAATACATAAAAAAAAAAAAAGAGTGATCTGAAGGCAATTATTACAATGTATCTTAACATATTTCATGTGAATACTTCACCTGCAGACTGTAAATAAAAAAAATAAATAAAAATGAAAAAAAAATGCAAAATTATAACAAAATGCAAAATATACTTACCTATTAGCATTTTGTCTCTGATCAAAATACTCATAATCAGTATCCGCATACAGCTGATTGTCTTCGTCCTTGTTGCACTTCTTGCCACAGAAAAATCCAGTTATAAACCCTAAGATGAGCGCACCAATAGTTGCAGATGCTACAGCTATGGCCAGAGTTTCAGCGGTAAAATGTAAGGGGACACCCTCAGTACTCGTTGGTTTGTGGTCTGTGGAGGATTTACTCTTAAGTTCTTAGCATTATTGATGTGCATTTATACTATCAGCAAAAAATAACATAGTTTTAGTTATGCAGTAACATTAACTCTGTTGAATAACCACATAATAATTTTTTCTGTGTACAGACAAAATATTAGTGCATTGATTTTTTTTTATGCAGCTGAAAACCTTTCAATAAATGAAAGGTGCTTGACAAAAAGCATTAAAACCCATTACACTCAAACAGTGCAGCCTCTCACAGTAATCATCCAATTTATTGCAGCTACTTGGAATGTGAATAGCTAGGCTTTATAAAAGTACAATATAGGTATCCTTCACTATACAAATGGGTTAGGTTCCTGAAAAACCATTCATTAAGAGAATTTCTGTATAGTTAATAAAAGAATATATGGGAAAAATTTAGTTCGGTTCCCCAATGACAAGAAAACCCCAATATCATGAAATCCAGTTCATGAACAACAAAACCTACCTAACTACAGTAAAGATAAATACTACACAACTACTGTAATTTACTACCTAACATATTCAAAACATTAATAAAATACTACCTAAATGAAAATATTCAGCTAAAACCCTTAAGGAAAAGCAAAATCAAAGTTTAACACAGCCACCATTTGCATAGACTCTAGCTGTGTCATGTAAGAAAATTTTATTTTATCTACCCAAAACTACAAGTTGAAAAATAACCATACCATAACTCCCCCCAGCTCATCCTCCTAACTGTAGCTGGTACATAAATAAATATTTATTTCCTTTATGTTTTTGACCTTATGACATTTTTTTTTTGCACATTCTGTATGTAGGATTGTGTGCATGTACCTGAATAATAATAATAATAATAATAATAATAATAATAATAATAATAATAATAATAAAAAAGTTTATTTACCCCAAATAACAAGTTTCAAAAATAACCATAACGCTAGGGGGATGTGCCACCCAAGCTGACTCCGAGGGCGCTTGATTTGAATTTCTGCTGGTACCCAAACTCATATAAGCGGGGAAAGCTTTTGTAACAAAAAAGAAGTGGTAATTTAGGAAATTCATATAAGCAAATTTTTGTATCTCAAATGTTCATATAGCGAGGGAAACCTGTACTATTACTCCAATCTAAACACAGTACACAAGTTCTGCAACACAGTTCACACACCAAATATATTCTAACCACAAATCTGTACTGCAAATTCAATTAAAGACAAATTTGGTATAAAATATGAATGAAAAGTAATTCTGGCAACTCAAGGCAGTTTGTTTACTATAGTACATAGTATAATATAATATGAAACAACAAAGCCCAACCAATAATTAAGCAACAGGGAACTAAGTAACCAATTACCGATAACCTTTTACATTCAATCATAATTTGTTAATAAATGAGAATGTGATTAATAATGAAGGCAGAACCACTAGAACCTCCAATGTCACCTTGGTTGCTCAATACTTTTATGGATGGGGTAGTATGAGAGGTAAAAGCAGGAGAAATGAGGTGAAATATAAGTTTGGTAAAGAATGATGTGGGATGCAAATGGGAAGTGAGTCATTTACTGTATGAAAATGACATTACTCTAGTAGGCATTGTGGAAAAAAAAATGTTGCTAATATGTTTGGAATTGTGTAAGAAAAAATAGTAAATATCAAATGTGAAAAACAGTAAATTGTTCAAAATAAATTGAACCTTCATTAACTCTGAATTCAAATTTTATGCTAATTCAGCATATTTTAACATTGTGAATCTACCAAAATCACACAGCACAGTGTTTCAGGTTGGGTGACCATCTCTGCCAAAGTTCCCTTTCAGTTCATGTGAGTGCAAACCCCCAGTGCATTCTTACATGAACTTTCCCCTTTTGTTATAAACATGGCTTCAAAAGAACCCCAAGAGTCTTCATGTGAAAGAAAGGCAACAGGAAACCTAAACAGTAAGTCCTCGTTAATGTTGCCCCTAACAATGTGGTTTCATTATAACGTCGCTACGTTTTAGATACTCACGATTCCGACAACGTCCCGACCAATTCGTTATAACGCCATCATGGACTACTTTGTATGGCGCATCACCCTCTCTCATCTTGGCGCTCTATGCTCTCTCACTGAGCGTCACAGCGTCCCCAGTGTTTGTTAGGCTTCCACAGCGTACATGTGTGCTTAAGTGTTTTTGCTATAAATACTGTACTGTAACCATTCGAAATGGCTTCCAAGCACCCATCAAGTGTTAGTGATGCCAGTGTTGTGAAGAAGCAACGTGCTACGAAAATGGAGGTTTTAAACCCACCACACACTCGCTCCACCTCTGCCCATCAGTGAGTACAATACGTAATGATTTAGTTTATTTATCTTTTTGGATGTATAATATATATTTTTGAGAAAAATTCCAATGAATTTATGTATATGTAATGTATTTTATGAGGCAAAGGGAGGCTGGGGAAAATTGATTCTGTTAACGTCGTGTTTTTCAAGAATGTAACCACGACGTCAAGCGAGGACTTACTGTAATAAAGGCCAGCGGGAGCCCAGGGGGAAATACAATAGCCTTTCTATTGTTAACCTCAAAGTTCTTGGTTGGATGGATACTAAAGCTATGTTGCAGTATCATGGACAAATTCCATATTAGCTCCAGCACCTTCTATAATATCAAGAAATTGAAGGATAAGCTGCATGACTGCTTACTAAAACAACCCAGAAGAAGGAGCAGTAAAAAGGATGAGGGCGATGGAAACAGGGAACACCCAGTTAGAGGAAGTAATTTTCATTTAGGGAACTCGGCACAGAGTATTGACATTCAGTCTGCTGCTGAATGCTTAACCCAAACTAAGGGTTTCCAAGCTGGTGTTGGATGACTCTACTGTTCTCATCAATGAGGCGAGGAACAAAACTCTAGGTGCTGGTGAGAACAAAATTGAGCTGTTTCATACCAGGATCATGATCAAATAGAAAATTCATGTTTATTTGGCAAAGTTATTATTTCAGCAAGGACCAGGGCTCCTAGAGTGCTGAGTTACTGAAGATTTAAGGTTTAGCATAAGTAAAAAAGAGAGAGAGAAAGAATTAAACATTAGTTTCAGTGGAGACAGAATGCAAAATGTGCAGTGTTTCAGATACCCGGTATCTGGGTATGGATGTGTCAGCAAATGAAATGCCAAATCATCAGTGTGATCTATAACCAAGGTGCTTAATGGTGCTATAATTAATAGTACAAAGGTGAGTGTTATTTAAAGATGCTTGTAGTGACCACCATATATGAGTACTACTGTATTTGGGTCCCCGTAGGGGTAAAACCATCGAGTTATTATATTTCTACTCAAGTTTTATGAGTGTTAATTGAAGATGCATATTTTTTCTAATGACAAAGTAAGACCCAAGGGTGTTTATTTTTCTATAAGTATTCATGTAGTGATTATTAAAGCATTCACTGACCCCAAGTGGGAGTTTCTTTAAAATTTGTAATTGTGATGCAAGATGTTCAAAGTAACAAAACTTCCTTTTAATAAATAGTAAATAAGTATAACCTGTGTATCACCCTTCATTCCTTCTAACATATTGATTGTTTAATACAGTAAACAGTACATTTAAATTTCATGCATCTTGATATCTCTGCCAGCTACCAAAGTTAATTCAGAGGTTTTACCATTGATGCTATATCATATTCTAGCCCACAGAATAGAATACACTAAAAGAAAACAAATTGTAACTACTGAGATAAGTAGAGGAATTAATAAACATCTTAATAATTGCTGCCCCTTACAACTGATGTACAGCAGTGATATTAATCAATAATTCCCCGCTTTATGATATGTTAATACAGAGGGCCCCCCAAGTTCGCGGAGTTTTATTTCGCAGTCCTCTGTTATTCGCGGATGACACCCTGGATGTACCCAAGAATGTCGTAGCTTTAAAGTTGCCGGCATTTTCGCGGCTGGGACTGGGAACCATTCGTTCTAGAGACAGTAATTTCCTTTACCTGTATTGTAAATGTGTGTGTGTGTGTGTGTGTGTGTGTGTAGACACACACACAAAACACATACAAATAAATAATAATTGGAAAATCCTCTCACAAATAATCAGAAACAAATTTATCAAAAATGTGAATCTACCCTCAAGTCCGTGCTTTATTACTTTATTAATAAAGCAAGGACTTGAGGGTAGACTGGCACATTTTTAATAAATTTGTTTCTGATTTGTGAAAGTATTTTCCCATTTTTATTTATTTGTATGAGTTTTGTGTGTGTGTGTGTCTACACACACACACACACACATATATACAATACAGGCAAAAGAAATAATTGTCCTTAGGGCAAACACATAAATGGAATATACATTTCTTTGTACACAAGTAAAAATATACTAACCCCCCCCCCCCGGTCCGCAAATGCTATGCACGTATTTGGCCATTCGCGGTCATTTTGAAAACCTAGCCCCTGCGAATTTGGGGGGCCCCCTGTACTGTATATAAAACCAGTTGAAGAAAATACAACTAATGTACAGTAAATCATTTGTCACTGTCACATCAGGTAGTTTAGCATAATTTGGAATTTGCCATATTTCAACAAGGGTAGAGCCCATAATATTCTGAAAGTTTTATTTTATATCTGAAACATATAATATAATTAGTCTTAAATGTATATTAACCATCAATAATGCAGGGAGACTAAGAATAAAGTGCAAACAGGCACTGACTTTCCTTTCATTTGCTGTACGTATTCATACACTCATTCATTCTCACAGCTGCTACAGATGTGCTCTATTTTGATACTTCCCTTACAATCAACATCCACCAGAAGCACCAACAGTATAAACTATACTGCATTTGAAAAAAAAAAGTGGTTAATATTCTGTATATCTCTGCATTTGCCTAGAGTGTTCTCATAGAGTCCATTTTAAATAAATACAGCATATAGTTTATATTGTGCTTGACTTACCTCGATCATCCTTGGGAGCAACAGGAAGAGAAGTGCCTGATGTGCCAAGGGTAACAGAGGCAGCAGAGTGGGATGGTTTAGATTTCTTGTCTGGCTTTCCACAGTCACTGTGAACACCATCACTGATATTTTGAATCATTTCTTTCCCAATCCCTAGCATACGACATTTACGATTAGTCTTGTCCCAGGCACAATAAGGATCTTGTAGAGCAACACAATCACTGAAAATAAGTAAGTTATGTCATTAACAATCCTCTAATTGTGAGATACTGTACTGTATTTAGTACAGCATTTTTATACTGCATAAACGAAGTGTCTTGTGCAACAAGGGTGAAGTCACCACTGATTTCATGCTATATCTGGTGGTGAAAGCGATCAAGGCAAAAGTGACCATATTGTGGGGCTAATAAGGGGGTTGAATTTACAATAGAAAACACACCAGAAATGTACACTCAGGTCCCCACACTGTTGGATAAAGGGCAAGGCCACCAGGCCAGGACTACTCACACCAGACATCTTCACCCTGTGTAATGACTTTTATTATCTCCCAATTACCTCAAAATAAATCCTTCCATTGATTGAGTTATCAAAAATGCAAATTTATGAATAATTTTTATTTCCAGCAAATTTCATAAAAATCCAAACAGTAAAGGATTACTATTTTTTTATTAACTTTGTGTCTCATTTCCATAAATTTTTTAAACACATAAAACTGCCATTATTTTACCATTTTCTACTTTAATTTCCTCATTCAGCCTGTCAAACCAAACATCATGATATGTAAAACAAGAAAATTGGATTGTTTTTGTTGAAGTAAAATTTTTTTTTTAACTTTAAATGCAATTACAGTGCAGTACAGTAGGGTCGGGATATACAGTATATACAGTAGATATTTTATGAAGATTTTTTTTATATATCACGACTACTAATATTTTCAACATTTTGCAATACAGTGTATAGCGATAAATCTAATTTTTTCGTGAGGTAAATCGGGCAGGAAATATTAAAAATTTACCTCCATGGCAAATAAATGCGTTTTTGCCCACCAGAGGTGCCACCGTGGCCGCTCACTCAAGCATTCACGCTCGCCCGTACAGTCTTTCTGAGTGAATGACGAGTAAGCAGCCAACTCTGCTGCAGATTCCGACGTGTAAGGCGAGTGTAAATAGGTTGCTAGTGATGTGAAAAGTGAAGTAAAGGAAATGGAAAGCTTAATGGAAAAGATTTTATACTGTAACTAATATTTTTGGTTTGTTCAGTTATGTAGGTGTGGGATTGTCAAGTGAGGGTGGCAGTGTGGCATCTGCTGCTGAGTCTGGTGTTCCCGGGATGGCGCATCAGCTGCCAAGTCTGGTGCAGATAAAAATTTCTAAGGTGAGTGTAAATGGGTTGCTAGTGATGTGAACAGTGAAGTGAAGAGAATGGAAAGCTTAATGGAAAAGACTTAATACTGTAACTAATATTTTTGGTTTGTTCATTTATGTAGGTGTGGGATTGTCAAGTGAGGGTGGCAGTGTGGCCCGAAAAATGCAAAAAGTCTGAAAAAAGCGAATATGTGGGGGGTGGCGATAATACTGCTTATCTGAACTGTTTAAATAAAATCAGTTATTGTTATGCTATTACTGCACTTCAACAACTAAGGTCTTTAAGCATATAACAAGGTTATTAACAATAAAAAAATATAAAACAGAACTCTCTGGGTTGAAAATCAGACATAACTCTGGTTGTCAATTTTCTCCGAGATGATTGTTATGTGTACTGTAAAAAGTGTAATATATAAGTAACCACAGAATTTGTCTTATGAAAAAAGAAAAAACTGTATACAGGGAGTCCCCAGGTAATGAATGGGTTCCGTTCCTGAGGACATTCATAAGTCGGAACACATGCTATATGCATACTGTACCGTACTTACACAACAATGTTTAAAATCCCACTACGTATATCATAGACTAAGTCCTTATAAACATCTAAAATCACTTAATTTAGGACAAAAAAAGAAATAGAATGACAAAATACCTGTAAAGTAAATGAAAGTAAAAAAATAAATCACCAGGTAAATAAAATACAGTGACCCCTCCGTTAACGAACTCAATCCGTTCCAGAAGGTCGTTCGTTAACCGAAAAGTTCGTTAACCGAAACCATTGTTTCAATGGGTTTTTGGGCAATTAGTTCCAGCTCACCGAAAATTTCCTAAATTCAACAAAAATGGTAGAAAAGTTTACTTACTTTGAGGTGTGTATGTAGAAGGCTCCTGGATGATGATGATGATGATGGGATTTAGAATGGGGGTTTAGGAGAAGGAAGAAGAGAAGGCATTGGGGTGGAAGAGAAGTCACCCCATGGCACCATTTCACCCATAAAATTTTAGCTCTCTTGGTGTAATTCAAGATTATTTTCTTTAAATCAACACTGCACTGCATTATATATTGTCAATAAGTAAAATATATTTCAAAATGACCAATAATTTGCTTGGAAACACAGAAAAAGAGCGTTTAGTTGAAGAGAGTCTCAAGCAAGATGTTACCTCCAGAGAAAACAGAGAGAGACTAACTCCTGTTTGCTGTGTTAAGAGGCTGGATGCCGCGCATTAAACTAGTCACTTTACCTTCAATTATGTTCAATAATTGTTAAAATGACTAAAAAATTGAATATTAAACTTTTAAAACTATTGAATAGTATAAACTTCTTGATATTTACTAAAATAGTAAGGAATTTAAGCCCTAGAACCAATTAATGTATTGGCGGACTGATACTAAAGCTGGTTGCCCGGCCAGTGCAAGCGAAAACATGTTGAGGTCGGTTCGTAAGAACTTCGTTAACCGAATTGAAGATCCTTATGGAAGGCAGCTCGTTAATCGAAATTACGTTAACCGAGGTGTTCGTTAAACGAGGGGTCACTGTACTGTAAATTTCAAGTTTAACCCCGTTCGTAACGGCGGGTGTTTGTAAATCGGGGACCTCCTGTATTGTACAGTACTATAAAGATAAAAATAAGAACAAATAAGTGTAGAGGTATATTGTATGTGGAAGACGAGTGTATATCTGGGAGCAGCAGGCAGAGGGGTGGGTGGCTCCCTCCTTCCATCTCCCCCAAGATCCCTTTAATATGTCTTTATGTAATTCCATCACAATTCTAATATAATTCAGATTCATTTGGTGTCAGGTTGATAAAATATTCTCAAAAAAGAATCAAATTTCCTGAGAAAAGAATCCCACACTCAACACCATGAATCATTTGTCTACAAAAGCCAAATAGCTGATAGACTTAGCTGCTTACCACATACTCGGTCTTCAACACTTATTAAACCAGTACAGTACAGTTGTGCATTTATCATTACTTAATAAATACTATTGGAGTGTATTTATCACCACTTAATAAATACTACTGTAGTGTATTTATCATCACTTTCGTAATATTGTAGTTTACAGTACTGTATAATGCATTTGCATATACCCCGGTCTATTCATTAATCAGTTGTCTAAGTGTACAAGTAGCCAAATTGAGCCATCATGAATAACTCAAAGGTAGTAAATAACATTGTTAGGAAGGTAATTTCATATCAATACTATACAGTGTGTTATAGAGACCCTGTTGTAAGGTGGTTTACTGAAAGCTCTCACATGAACGCAACCTGAGTGAATACCTTCCGATACAACTTATCCTTTTATTTTCAAGTCATATTACAAATTACATATTGTATTTTTCTCCATTACTGAAGCTCTTCTATTAATAATGATGGCCATAAACCATAAGAGTTGGCCTGGTAGGAGGAGAGCTAGGGTTTTGAAGGTACAGGGACAGTCTAACTTGGTGACATGCCAAGTCCCCACATACGTTCACATAATGCACATATATACCCATGCTCTTCATATTTCTTATTTTATAGCAACATACAGTATTTTTCAATATTCAGGTTCACTCCTTTTAATGCAATAAAATAAGTAAAATGCCATAAAAAAATACAAAAATCACTGTGTGTGTAAACATTTAAACTAGCATTTAACATTGTCATATGAAGAATTCTAAGATGCTCGGTGTGATTTTTCACACAGAGGTTCAGAAATATAGGTACAAGTGTGGGGTGAGTGTCATCCCGCGCGAGAATTTTCACATGCGTACTCCATGTGAACGATCCCAGTGAACTTCATTAATTTCTAAACCGCGCGGGTCTTCTCACGCAGAAAAAACACGCTTGTGTGAAACTGACCTTATAGCGGAATATGAGAGCTGCAGCTAGCCTGTGCAGTTTCAAATATTACTGTAGGTTATTGTAAATTTTCTTTGCAAATAAACAGGGTGAACTTTGCAAATATCGAAAAGGAGTGTTAAAATTTCAATTGCGATGAGTGGGGTATTTATGTACATGAAAATAAAGAGAACAGAAGAGTAAGTGTAGGGTAAGAGAGTAAGAGGGCAGCAAAGTGTAGGGGAAGAGTAAGTGTAGAATTTGAGGATAATACTCAACTGGATACACTGTACAGCACTTTCACAGTGAACGAGGCACACCACTTTATGACCCGAAGCACATACAAACATACAAAGTCCTTTAATAAATACTGAGAAAATAATTTTTTCCTTTACCTGCATGATACACTTTTGTCTGTGTAACAACGATTCAATGAAATTGAATGGATCATTGAACGTGAGCCAACTAGTAAACGTGGTGGCTTTCCTCTGGGTTTGATCACTTGTAGTGATGTAACTGCAATGTGTGATGGGAACACATCTATCTCCTCAATAATGAATGGATCTACTTCTTGATAAGAGTCAGCTGACTTCGTGTTGACAGCTTTTATCACTTTGCCATCATCTGTCAACATAATTTTATTAAAAACTTAAGACTTATTGGGGCATTATATCAGTGAATAGTTCAAGAGCCTCAATCACATATTTCAAACAGACAAATGATAGGAAAAGATGGTTTAAGTTATGACTTAAAACTATTTAATTGAGAGGAACAACTCTATTTCTTACCTGTACCTATGAAGAGAACATCATAGGCCTTCCCATCAGGTGTTCGAACTTGTGGGTCCACCGCTATAGATGTGAAACGACCACTATAGCTGTAAGGAATTTGAAAATTATTGAGAACAAGTTACAAAACAGAAATAATTCCAATAATTTCAATGCAAATCTAATATATGATTAGGATAAATAGGTAAAAAGGGAAAGGCACTGAGATAATACAGACTAGTGAAAAGAGGGAATAACCATATCATACTACATGAAAATAAAAATTATCTGGTTAGTGGAGCAGCAGTTCTCTGAGAATGCTGGAAAAACAGGAACAAGATTACTGCAGTATATCTTATGCCTGGGGCCATAACTGATCGTAAGCATTCAGTCGAGTAAACTTTTCAGTGTTTTACTCTTAGACTGGAGCCAAGCATGTTTAATGCTAAATCAAAGACAAAAATGTTTTGCATCACCACTAGCAGACTGTTTACAGTGAGGGTAGTATGGGTACACAGCAAAAATAGGGTTTAAAATCGAGAAAAATTACTACAACTCAAGCCATTTCTCACTCTCCTTAGTGTTATAAACAAGCTGAGGTGATAGCCAAAGTGGGTGGGTGGTTGAGATGGATACTTGAGAAGTGAGCAGTGGCTGAGCTAACCCATTTACAATCAGATTATATGTGTGTTCGGCAAATAACTAAAAAAATTTAATTAAACCTGTATTTCCAAATCTGTATTGATAAACCTGTGATGAATAAAACCTTACTGTCTGTACTCCTCAACATCTAGATTAAGTATTTGAGGTGGAAAGTTATAATACAAACTTTACCTATGCTTGAGCACTAATTACTTGTTCCTGTGAGTGTGAGTTTGGATGTTGTTTTTACATGGTTTTCTGTTAGTCTGGTGTTCATAAATAATTCAAACATACTGAAGAGTGAAAGTGGGTCCGATAGGCATGACTGCCTGTTAAGGGCAGTGTGGACACAGCACACTGTAAAGCCTTCGTTACAAGAGGCAGCATAGTCGGTACTGCACCTGACCACATTGATTTCCCTAAGTTGTAAACTTTGGTACCCATTTACAAATGAGTGAAGTGGGATTGCCCGGGGTTTGAACGACTGACTCGCGGAACAGGAGGCGAGTGCTGTATCCACTCAACTGCCACACTCCACCGAACATAAGACAATACTGTACAGTACAAACTTATTAATGTACAATTCCAAGAAAAAATGTTGTTTTCACCAAAAAATCTTCCTTTGAGCTTGGAAAATGTTTAAAAAACTGAGTTGGTTAAAAATTTCATCATAAAAACTCCTCAACATGCTGATTATGTATCTGGGGTTAAAAAAGTATACGGTATACAGTATTTGGTAATTACCCTTAAAATAAATTTCATCCAAACCTGTGCTATTGGTTGGGTGTGCTCATGAATGTGTTGTTGCCTGGTTGCTATGACGATGCTGAAGGCTCGCTTCAGAGCCAGAAAAACATATAATCCCAGTTCAAATACTAGTGATTTTTCCAATAAAAAAGATTCAACTTTCTAATGGTGCCCCCCAAAACAAATACCGGTAATAATAAATAAATAAAAATAAGGGTACCCATTGCCACAAAATTCTATGCTCTTGTTTTTGCTTGTTCTTCTTTAGACTGGAGCTAATAAGCTCAACAAACACTGATCTAAATTTGATCCAAAATCTTAATTTCACAGCTTCCACTAATTTAAAGGAAAAATTAGGGATGCATTATAAATATTCTTCCTAGCATTTTTCTAATATTTTCCATAAGAAAAACAGTAATAACAAAGGTAAAAAGATATAAAGTACACAAATCACAAAATTACTGTATAAAATAAAAATTCAGTTAAAAGAAAAAGTAATGAGCCATTTTAGAGAACATTACAGTACAGTACTCACCAAAATATTGTTTCTAATAAAATATGCTGGATGGTACAATGTTAAGTGTGTGTAATACAGTACTGTACTTTATTTAATCTCAAGTGCAACTGTACTTTACATAATCTCAAGTGCAACTATACATTACATATCTAAGATTAACAAAACATTCCATTTACCAATAATGTATGCAGCACAGTATTTGTATTTTTTTTTAACCCTTAAAGGGCAATGGACATCATATGATGTTTGTGAGGAAAATGCGTAAAGGGCGGCGGATATCATGTGATGTTTAAGTTTTTCGTGCTATTGGTTGGGTGTGCTCATGGATGTGTTGTTGTCTGGTTACTATGACGATGCTGAAGGCTCGCTTCAGAGCCAGAAAGACATATAATTCCAGTTCAAATAGTGATTTTTCCAATAAAAAAGATTCAACATTCTAATGGTGCCCCTCAAAACAAATACCGGTAATAATAAATAAATAAAAATAATAATAATAATAAAATAATATAGTTGTACCCCACTTAACGCGGTCAATAGAACCCAGAGGGTCCCGCGTTAAGTGAAATCCGCGTTAAGTGAACAACAGAACATATGGGATTAATTCCAATAGAAACCAGCCCGACCCCCAAACTCCACTTTTTGAAGACACATAACTATGTTGTAGTAAAAATAACATCTTAATTTTATGATGGTACATGCACACAATTAATACTTAAGAGAAATAGAGAAATACAGTCGCCAAGTTAATGTCCATTCAAATAATGGACTCAACTCCCTCCCCCTCTTCTCACACTACACTGCTGGCTCTTCCCTCTCGTGAGAAATTTTTGGGGGAAAACCACTAAATTTTAATAAATAATACCTCAAACTAAAGTTAGGATAATACAATTGACATTGCTGGATTCCTTGTAAGACCAGGAATATTTTGAATATAAATGTCATATATTTTGCACAAAAGATAACATATTTACTCAGAGAAAACATTTTATCTAAAATTTGTATGCCTAATGCAAAATATATGATGTTTATATTCAAAATGATCACCAAATTATAAGAATTCCAGCAATGTAAATTACATTCTGGCCGGGTAATTTGTATGAATTTTATGAGCTAAAACAAATATCTTCAGTTAATAAAAAAAAAAATATTCTTCACAGGGTAACAGATGGTCGGTCGGTCCCTCCCTCCCCCCCACCCCCCACCAACCGTCCCAAGGAGATGTGTGGGAAAACCAGAATATTTAACTTTTTAGTAATAAATAATACCTCAAACTAAAGTTAGGATAATATAATTGACATTGCTGGATTCCTTGTAAGACCAGGAATATTTTGAATATAAATGTCATATATTTTGCACAAAAGATAACATATTTACTCAGAGAAAACATTTTATCTAAAATTTGTATGCCTAATGCAAAATATATGATGTTTATATTCAAAATGATCACCAAATTATAAGAATTCCAGCAATGTAAATTATATTCTGGCCGGGTAATTTGTATGAATTTTATGAGCTAAAACAAGCAGTCAGGCAGGGTGGCGGGTGGGGCAAATCTAAAAATAGCGTCTGGAGCCGGACACTCACCGCGTATATGTGGAAAAAATCCGTGTTAAGTGAAAGTTCAGCTCTGGCGAGGCACCGCGTATATGAAAAAACGCGTTAAGTGAAACCGCGTTACCGCGTTAGGCGGGGTAATACTGTATAAATAAACAAATAAATATCTCAATTATGGTTCCAAAGCAGGAAAAACATGTACTGTACTCCCTATTCAACTCATTTCTCAAAGAGATTATTATTAAACATGATTTTGTAGGAAAAATATTCATCTTTCGAAAGGTGTAAAAAAAAAAAAATATTGTACAGTGTCTCATTTAGGGTGCATTCTACATGTATTTTAGAACATTATCTGAAGCGCTTTGCTCTTACTAGGTAGTAAAATTTATCCCGCCCTGGGCAGACAGCACACCTAAATATACCCACCCTTTATCCCCTAGGTTTCGGGTCACATCATATGACATGCATCTGTAGAGCTACGGGTCCCGTCATATGAATTTTTTATCTTTCGTGGGCCTGTTTGAATAAAAAGGGTGAGGCTGGCTAAATTATGTTGTCAGATAGATTTTTACAGTATATTTCACTCACTCACACATGAGAGCCTCTCAATCTCTTCTCAGCTTTTATGATACAGTGTATAGGAATCTTGCCCTAGGACTTGACCCCCTTTGCCATGTGTTTTTACCACCAAGTCTACTACTGTATCATGATCAATTATTGTTAATAGTGCAAACAATGCAAATGTTCCCAAATATACATGCAAAGGGGGGGGGGGGGAAGCCGACCACAGCCCGAAGCCCAGAGGTTATGGGTTAATACAATGTTCTTGGAGGGAATATTAGTTTACCTTGGTGTGGCTCTACACTATGTATCTTTGATGAACAAACACTCCATTTACCAATATGTGGTATATAGATGTGTATTTAAACATCTTGATATCCGGTGGGAATGTATGAAAATAATAATTAATGAAAAATATCAATGTACAGTACCTGTATTTATAATACAATGTGGTTGGGGTAAATATTGGTGTGTAACTTATGTATGGTTGGTGTGGCTGTAGTGGAGGGATTAAAAGGTAATTCATCATTCTAAAGTACAGGTAGTTGCATTCTTGTCTCAATTTTTTTTTATGTTTCAATAAAAATATTTTTTCTCTTAATTCATCAATAATGTAGATGTAAAATGACAACAAGATATACCTGTGTGTACATACATGCATGCACATTGAAACTAACCAGGAAAGATTTCAGTAATGTTTCTTTTCTTGAGAGCCATATAATGTACTGTACTATGTATGCAAGTACCGTACTTTTCAATTTATAAAACTAGTAATGACAATTTATTATTATCAATCAAATTTGTCATTACTAAATTTAAGTTCTCTTACAATAATGTATATAAATATTCATAGAAAAAACTTACTGGAAACTAGTGCTGATGATTATAGGCTTGCCGAAGAAAGCTGGTACAGCTTCATCCATCAGTGAATGTAATTTAATGAAGTTCAGTGTGACATCTGGCAGTGTACTTGAGTCCTTTACACACTGACCTGGTCTTGGTTCAGGTACCTGTCATAAAAGAACTTTCTTAATTGTTGTAAGATCACCAAAACTCAAAGACTGTGTTCCTGATACATACTTGGTCTCACTGAAAACAAGTGATTTCATTCAATAATTTAATTAAATGATGAACAATTTGAACCTTCCTTACGAGAGCACTTTCTATCCACCCACATTAAAAATAAACCAATAAATTTTATATGTACCCTGTTTATATACAGGGGTACTTAAACTTACTCTCTTCATTAACACTGTACAGTACCTGTAAATGGAGAGGTGTTTAATTCTCACATCGTCACACTGAATGAACAAATACAGTAGAAGGAAGGCTTCCTTTTACTTCTATCCTCTTTACCACTATTCGGCATGTTAGCCAATTGGGCGGGCAGTCACGTCTCTGTTACACACGGTTGGCAAGGACTGGGCATGTACTAACTCCAGAATGTATCTGTACCAGTGTTGGTCAAGTATGGTCTTGAAAGAGCTCACACTCTGTGCCATCACAACACTATCTGGCAGAATGTTCCAAGAATCCACAATTCTCACTCCAAAAAAGTTTGCCCTGACAGTTTTCTGAACTTGTGGCTTCTTCAACCTTGAGCTGTGATCCCTTATGGGGCGGGCATTCACCAGCACCAGGTATGAACACTCGACTGATTATGCCCTCTAAGATGTTTATAAACTTCAATTATGTCACTCCTTGCCCGCCTATGTATAAGCTGGGCAACTGCAGGCGTTCTAGTCTCTCTGGGTAACTTCGGTTCTGTAGTTCAGGAACCAAGCTGATGGCCCTCCTTAGGACATTTTCAATCAACTGAGTCTCTAGCATATTTTGGGAGTTAATTTAAAGAAACAGAGGAACTGTACACGTTGATATAGACAACATTCATACTTCCCAAGCTCACCTTTGCCTCCCCTACCTGGTCTTCCTCCCTAAATGCCACACAACGTAAACACCTAGAAAAGTGCAAAAGAGGGCATGTAAGATTATTCTCGCCCCTTCCCACTCCACACATCAAGAAGCGCTCAACACACTGACCCTCTCGGCTCTCACTGATTTATGGACTGTACAGCCCTGTAAATGTATTCAATGCATATTATATCATTATGTCTAAATCAAATGTAAGTCTATTTTCAGCCACCAGCTGCAACTCTATTAATAAACCGTTTATTATTATTATTATTATTATTATTATCATCATCTGCAAATTTGGTGAGAAGCTTCTGCACCATCCTCAACACCGGCTCCTACGACCACCTGAGATCCCTCGCCCAAGAATTACTGTTCGACAGCACAACCACATCCAGCCCATAAGAGCACGAACTGATTGCTATAAGAACAGCCCAGTCCCAACCATTGTAAAAATTATCAATAACTTGTAATCAACCAGCCAATCTTACTTTTTGCACTGTCACTATGTTGAAATGCCCTGTAGTTTGAGCTTCTCCCCACCTAGTTATTATATCATATTTGTATCACTTATGTTACTTGTATATTATTTGTAAATCGAGAGACCCATTCCCCAATTACGTAACTGTATATTTTCAGCCTTCTGGCTGCCATGCTCTTTCAATAAACCGTTAATTATTATTACTAATATTATTATTATTATTAAAATAACATGAATCAAACAAAATATAATGAGCTGATCTCATGAATAGTTTGTATTTCTATCTATGAGGTACACAGCACTGTAGTACAGTATATATAAAGGAAAAACTTTTTCACACACAGGGTGGTAGACCTATGGAATAGTCTACCAGCCCAAGCTATGGAATCAAGAACAGTACTGGGCTTTAAAATAGCCACTGGTCTTCCCTCAGCGTGGCCACCTCTAATGAGTGGCCATTAGGTAAATAAGGTAAAAAGAAATGCATTAGTAAAATACAGGCAATCAACAATTTCTCATATACTGTACTGTCAAGTACAGAGGAATATTGCTGTCAGTGTAACCAATTATACAGTGTGTCAGGTCAAAAGACTTTGGTAACACAAAACTTAGGTAGTCTGCACCCAAATACTTTCATTGAATAATATAATGAAAGAATTTAAATTACTAATCTTACACTACTCTAAGTAAAAAAGAAGTAATCTGAAATATTTACTCTAACAATATTTGAATGAGAAGATTCAAGTCATTTCATTCTCTTGCTGACTGCTTTCCTAAGATTGATATAAGTTTATCCATGATAAATTTACAAACTTTACTTTTCTTTTAACAAGGCCTATTGGAACTAGTACAGGTACTCCTCGACTTACGAACTACTCGGCTTACGACCACCCGTACACACGACCGCCGCGGTCATAAATTATTTTTTTTAAATTACATATATTCGAGTCCCGACGTTAGTGATCGTGTTGTGTACTGACAAAATTTTCGTTTGTAATTCCCTTTAAAATGGCTGGCAAGCGTAAAAGTGAGAGTTTTGTGGTGCTGAGAAGAAAAAGAGACACCCATTTTAGATTTTCTATGTATTATTTTCGCATTTTCGACTTACGACCTGGTCGTCGGTCCCTAACCCCGTCTTAAGTCGGGGACTGACTGTACTGTACTATAAATGCCAAACCATGACTTTAAATGTACAGTGGGGTATGCTATAACGAATCTAATTGGTTCTAGAACCATTTCATCTTATTAACTTTCCTCCTTTAGTCAGTAATATCTCTTCCCTTTCTCTTCACCGCAGTGTTGCATCAGTCTCTCTCTTTTACAGGTACTTTAACGGGCAATGTTCGGTGGATTTGGCATCCTGTGTACTGCTGGCAAGGCAGCGGGTTCGTAACACTCGTCTTGCCAGCGGTGCCCACCGTTTCTGTATGGATGTCGGTCACACTAGAATAACCCATTATAGTACATCCTTCTTTCCTTACACAGCCAAACTGTGGAATGCTCTGCCTCCTCCTGTGTTTCCATCCTCTTACAATCTATCTCACCTTAAAAAGCTATTTTTCCAGCATCTTCCTGGTGTAGATTAGCATACTTGTTTTTATCAATTTTTTCCTACTCTTATATTCTGAAAATTCTTCATATCATGAGTTTTCCTTCTTCTGGCCTCTTCTAATTCAGGAGCCCATACACAATAATATTGTTCTTGTGCTCAAGATGATCCTAGAGCTCTCCTATATCATCACTGGTCCTAATTTTCTCCACATTCTCCAACATGACCTGCTCTAGTCCTACATCTCTCATACTTGTATTGTGGGATCCTGTCACAACCAGGGCATATGATAGGTACTGTATGGTCAAATGGTTTCTATATTTTATTACCTGTAGTTGCTTCCATAATTTTATTAAAAGTATTCCACCCAACTTTTTCTAATTTGTCTGCCAACCAAGAACCAGTTATCTCTATTTCTGGCTTGAAATCCTTCTTTGTTATGGTCTGCAATGAAATCAAGAAAACTTCAAAATAAATATATTTTAATACAGTAATGCCCCAGGTTACAGAAGGGATGTGTCCTTGAAAAGCTGAGGGTAAGTGTGAACCCTATTTTCCCACTGACTTCCATTATATAATTGGAGAAGCACTCCCAAAGAAACTTTTTTGGTACAAAAAAGTAATATAAGCACACTTATGAATGAAAGTAATTATTTTTAAAAAAAGGTACAGTATACCCTGAAAACCGGTATCTCATTAATCGCACCTTCACATAACCGACAATTGGGGAAACACCCCGCAAGTTTCGTTGATACCCCATTGATCCGACAATTGAGGGAGAGGCAGCAGAGGCGTTTTGAATTTGGAAAGTGGTGGTGTGATGCGACTTCTTGCCATGAGAGGGCTCTGTGCGCTGCCTCCAACTCATTCCCGCCTCTTTGCACTTGCTTACACTTACCATGTATCTCTGACTTTGTGATTTTTCATTATTTTCGATTGTGTGTCATGCAATCATGCCTAAATGCCCCTGTGATAGTTCCTCTTGTGCTGCTTGATGTGATGTGAAAAGATTTAATAAAGCATAATAAGAGTGGTGATGGACCAGCAAAAATTGGTAGAGAATTGAGTTTGCCACTCTAAACCATCTCTACCATCCTCAACACAGGTAAATAACCATCTAAATTTATGCTTTACATTCCTTATTTACAGTAATGCCTATTATGCTTGCTTTATGTCTGCTTTATTTTCTGGCTTAACAGTGTGCATGACACACATATATCAAGGGTAGATGGGAGTTTTTGGGGGGTGGCCGGTCCCTAACATCCCGAATTTGTTATAATCTTATGGGTATAATTGCTTCGATAACCGTTGATTCATCAACCAACGACTTTTTGCAGTCCCTAAATGTATAATATGATAATAATTTAATAAATACACAAAACACTTGAATTTAACTCACCACAAATGATGTTCAATGTTGCATGAGGTGAATTGGTGCAATGGGAATTATTGGGAGAAGGAGCAAGCCCTTATATTTTTACAATCTGCCTATGTTTTTCTCCCTCATCAAACTCCTTAAAATATCAAGTTTTAAATCCAATGTAATTTCTTTACAGGCCCTTTTAGCATTACTGCTTTCACTTACACTTGATGATCTCTTTCCACCCATCTTCAATACGAGTAATACACTGGACAGCCTTGAATAGGTGTTAAATCCCAGAGCTTGGGTAGAGATATTAGGCGTACATGCTGGGAGATATAAACAAACTGTGTCGAGTAGTGTTGGTACGCTGCTTACCCACGTTTGATGGTATCAAACACAAAAAAATCCACACCAAATAAATTATAACGTCTAAAAGTATTTTTGGTTCTATATTGCAATTTTGGGCATTTAGCTTATTTCAGTAAGGTTGAATTTAAAGGCCATATCCCAAATTTAGTGGTCATAATTTACAAATTCCACATGGGTGAATTTTTGCAACCTGAGTTTTCATAATGTTGGGATACCTGTATGTTTTGGAAGCAAACAAACTTTAAAAATGGGAGAGAAAGGAGACACTATGCTGTAAGAAAAAATAAAAGAAAAAAGAAGAGAAAGATTTAAGTGGAATGAGTCTCGTGTGATATACTAAAACTTACCTTCGTGCTTTGAACTGGTAGCCAATTGGCATTTACTGAGGTCTGACCCTTGAATGGACCCTCAAAAGTGTCCATGATATCTTGGAATGTGAAAGCACACACAGCAGACCCAGGAATGGAATTCTCTGGGGTGGTGAAGACACCATACAGAAGGGTTGTGGCATGACCACCATAACGTCCCTCGACAGCTTCTGTTGTTGCCTCTGTAAGCAGGAATTTTGTTGAGATGAAAGCCGCATAACAGAGATTTTCTAGGTTTAGACAAACACATACTGGTATACAGGCACAATTATATATTTGTGCAAGGGTGTATAGGGTGAACGAGAATTTGTTTAAGCAAGCATAATGTTTTAGGGTATGAAGATTAAATGGACAATATTGGATTTATTTTAAAGAGAACAATTCCCAATGAACCAGCTTGCATTATCATTTATGGAGTTGGGCTTGTCATCCTTTGTCAGTGGCTGAACTGCTAGCTGAACTACTATGATGACCCGGTCTGGCTAGTCTGTGAACCTAGACAACATGGTGACATTTCTTTTCTAAAAGTAGGACAGCATGCCATTTGCATTAATGCTATCCACAGCTCTTATTCGTTAGTCAAAAAGAATTGTGGATTTTAACCAGGTGATCTACCCTTAAAATGTCTAGAAAAACAAACATAAAAGCAATGGTACCAAGTGTTGTAGTGCAAAAACAAAATGTGGTTAATTTATACTGTAGTAGAGGACATAATTCGATTATTTTTGTTGTTGCTTATGATAAGTTCACATACAAAAAAATTTCACCAAAAACACTTTTGGCACATTTTACTCATAACAGAGATATCGGGAGTTGGAAAAAAAAATGGGTAGAAAACTTCTAAACGGCGGGGGGAAGTAGCGGGTTTTTTGTTTTACTAAATATTAAATGCAGTCAAAAACAAGACAATTTTCTTCTATGACATTATTCTTGCATTTTACCTATAACCGAGATAATGTGAGTTGAAAATAAAAAAGCTTCTTGAAAAATTTGAAGCTATTATTGCATTTGTTGCCAGCAACCGAATCTTACGGCTTTTTCTTTGCAAACAATAGTTTAAAAAATTCTAAGACACTTTTCTTCAATGACATTTCCCTCACAAACGACCTAGAACCGATATACAGTATTTAATATGCTGAAGGGTCTGGGGGCAGAGCCACCAGTTAGGAAGTTAGATAAGGTTAGGTAGGTTTTGTTGGTAAGGATCACTTAATTAGTATTATGTGATTGATAGCCTACCAAACCTACTAAACCGTACCTAACTTCCTAACCATGTGGCTCCGCCTCCCGGCATATTAAACGTCTCGGTTGCTCGCAACAATCTTGGTTATGAGTAAAATGCACCAAAAGTTTAATTGATGAAAATCATCTTGTTTTTGTCTGAAGTTATAATAAGCAACAAAAAACCCAATATTGAATTACCTATGCCCTCACTTAAGATTTGTTTTAGTTACACTACAGAAACTTCTAAAAGGAAAATAGGTTTTGCTAGTATATTTTCTGTGTTTCAAACGAATATCTCCTTCATTTCCTTTGCAAATGAGCCTTATTAAACAGAAAGTAACAACTTAAAAAAAAAATCTCAAGTATGCCCTGCCCACTTTGAACACCAAATACAGTATTGTGGGAAATTTTGAAGATTAAAATACTTGAAAAATAAAAGTGTTCAACAGAAATGCCACAGAATAAATTATTTTTAGTGTTGTTCTCTTTTCTCCCTATATAAGACTCGATATATAAGCAGGTGTTGGCAATTTTTAAATATTAACCAAGCTCCCTGTCCACCTTGAACAACCAATATTGTACATAATTGGGGAGGTCATGTCAGGTTAAATACTAAAAAAAATATAAATTTGAGACAAACGTAATAGACACATGAAGTTCCATGGTGTAACTTAAATGAATCTATACATTTCTAAGGTTTGTTTGGTGATCCTTTTGGTATTTTACCCGATAACATTCCCTCAACTTTAAAGCCCTGCCCACTTTAAACAACCAAGATTATTGGTAATTAGGGGATCTTATCACCATAACAACTCATTTGCGATGGAAATGAAGGTTAAATGCGTTTAAAACAACACAAAATACACCAGGAAAACCTTTTGGTATTATTGTGTTTACACACCGTTCATTCCTACTACTAATCTATTATCATATTCGAATAAGACGTCTAATTATAAGGTAATTTTCATCTATTACATTTCCGGCGGAAATGTATAATAACGGAGATAGCATATCCAAAATTTTCTCTATTTTCTTCCATTAATCTTCCTCCATTATCGCCTGCCTCACCTCCAACACTGTGTCTCCTTCATAAATCATCACGCGCAAGCGTTCCCGTACACGTCACGCAGCTAATCAAAAGCGTTTTTGCTTTTGGAACCAATTAAAATGATTTGGGGTTTAATTCGCAGTATATTTGGCCCACTCAAATTCGAGTTTTAATTTGGGTCTCATATTTTGAAATTCAAGTTCAGTTCCGACCATGGAAGTCTGCGATGGGTGTCACTTAAAGTATATGGAGCTGATTGCGAGTTATTGGAAAAAAAAATGTAGAAACTAAAGCATTTTTTCGATTGCATGGTGTTCTTTCAACCTCAGTAAAGTGTACTAAGAGCAAGACTGAATGTAAATATCGCAAAGACCAACCTATGTGGCGTTGGGTAAGAATCCCAGAATGCAACGACGAACAAGAACCAGGCCAATAAGGTAAGAAATAGGTGATTCCATCATATGGTGAGAGTCAGTTAGGTTAGGTTGGGTTTGGTTTTTGGTTTTCTAGTGTTTTTTGGTGTATTTTGGGAAGATTTTTTTCGGAAAAAGTCCAACGAAAAAAATTCGAAAAAAAACGGCTAATTTCCGCCAGAAATGAAGGTCATATTCGGTCTAAACACACACAAATACACTAGAAAAATTTATTTTTTACTTTCTAAATGAGAACGGTGTGACAATGCAAATTTACCAACCTTTTTATTTCAGTAGTATCCATGGTGAAACAAAACAAATTTTTACAGAAGGCAGAATAACACTGATGCACTTCGCATTTTTTTTCAAATAAAACTCAAATGTAAATGGGGGAAAAATTAGGTTATCTGGGTGTTTATTGACCTGACTAACGGTGCTTGGTAAAGTGGGTGACTGATGTGTTTACGTTGGTTACCACTTGTAGGATGATTGCAATTACTGTACAGCATTTGGTGAATATATTCCAAGAGAAAGTACTGTACTGTATACAGTACTATTAACTTTGTCCAACTACACTTAAACAGCTAGTCTTCAAATTATGATATGTGGCAAACTGCAAAAATGGTAATTACCCAGTATACGTTTTTATATAGTATTTCCTGCTTCTGTTTACACAACCTGCGAAATGAGGTCACACTACAATAGGTAGTACGGTAGTAAGCAGCTATTAAACAGGGAGGTACTACCGCCTGGGAAGATATTGGAAGCATAATGTGTTGTCTAATGGTGGACCTTGCTGCCATATGGCATCACAAAAATTGTGACCAAGTCCCAGGTTGCTGCTCTGACTTTCTGTATATTTACACGCAATAGCAGGGTCTCAATTGTTTCTCGTATTATTGACAACACAACATTCATATATCGTATCTCACTATTGATCTTTTTTCCTTTTTGTAATTCTTTATGGTTCTTTATTATTATTATTATTATTATTATTATTATTAGTGTTGTTATTGTTATTTTTATTTTTTATTATAAATTTTATTTACTATGAACTAATTATTATTATTACTACTGTATTACATTTTTGCCCCCAGGCCCCGATGTGGGTCAGTGACCTGTGCCCAGGTGGGCTAATCCCCGGTAAAAAAAAACACTGAACTATGCTCACTTGTGAGTCTCTGCTTACACTTGTTTTAAGGACTGCGTTGACAAACAATTTGTTTTAGCAAGTACAGTACAGAACAGAACAGAACAGAACAGAACAGAACAGAACAGTACTGGACTGTACTGTAGGCTATATGGTTTGTGATAGGTTTTTCCCATTGCTGCCACGACTTCAAGATGTTCCCAGCACCACAGATAATATATTGCCATTCTAAATTCATGATCAGTTCATGAATTATACCGGATATATATTTTCTTTTTTGTGGTAGAAGACGAAAGCATCGAATTTTGATGTTGAGAGATAGAAAGAGAGAGAAGGCATAGACATATACATGAGTATTAAATCATGCATTAATTTATTTTACCAATGACAAAAATCTCCAGTGACTCACGTATCTCGTTGAAATAGAAAGGAAAGTCCCCAGAGACAGAGCAGTTGAGTCTGGACTTGAGGTAGGAGGTCCACTTGTTGCGGAACTTGTGGGGTCCTCCTTTATCGTGGCGACACACTCTGGCCACGCGTGAATACAGCGTCTGTTAACACATACAACGTTACTCCATCATATAATCACAGGCCCAATTTATTATGTAGCTGTACAGGACTCACAATTCCAACTTACTAATGCCCAGAATCCAACATATAAGTTATACCCACAACCTACTGTAAACTACAGGGTGTCCGTCCATCCCATTCTGATTTCCAACATAGCTTATATGTAAACGGCATATGATATTGAAATGCAGTTTTTTGCATTTGCTTAGGTGAAAAACAAAACTTGAATAGTTACTCTTTCAAATGCAAAAATCTGCATTTCAATATTTTATACCATTTGCATATAATAAATGTTTGAAATCAGAACAGGACTTTATGGACCCTGTATTACCGTTGTTAAATCAGGGATCCACAAGGACCACAACCCACATATTTCCGGTATAAGCCCCCCTCCAGATTTTTTTTAAATCTGACCTATATTATGGTCATTTTGAGGCTATTTTGAAGCCATGTGCACTTGATATTAGGAGATATTCTGAGGTCAATAGTAATTACTTTTTACTATACAAAAACACTTGAGAACAATACTGCATGAACGAAAAAGTACTGGAATTTTCTGAAGAAAAGGGGGTCTGGACTCCCAGGAACCCCCCGCTGAATCTGCCCCTGTGCCAGGCCTAGGTTGTTTTACATTCTCCTGGCCACAATAAACCCTCATTGATGTTATCTACTCAAAGTGTATTTCAAAGGAACTGCACTTGTTAAGATTGCTTCTAAATTTATTACTTCCTTATAATTATTATTACTTATCATTATCATTATGATAATTTTATTTTATTCCTATATGCCAACTCACCCCGTGTTGGATATTGAATGGCGGTGGGTGAAGACACGCATGCCAACCCTCCCAAGACATCACGAGTTGTACGTACAATATCGGAAGTCATCGGACCCACCCTGGCAGATACTTTTTTTAGCTACTGTATACAGTATTGACCCTTATATAATTAATTTATATTCGTCTATATTTATTTATTTACCTGTTGTACTTACCAAATATGATTAATCTGTAAAATAGATATATGCACTCTGTCCCTATTTGCACGAACTGGATCCATAGCATGCTAGGTATACAACCTAATTGAGAATGTCAAAAAATAGCCTACCATAGCCCCTGAACGCTGGGTTTGATTAAATTTGTGATATAATCAAATGTACAATAAAAGTGCCAGTGTGTATATTAATTAAAAATCCTGTTAAACTGTGATTGCAAAGGAAGACAATAGCGTGAGTGACCGACCTTGCCACAGTTGAGGTACTCCACCGCGATCTCTCTGAAGAAGAAGTAGACAAAGTCCCCCAGGGCGAAAGAACTCACAAAATTTGGAGCTGCAAACGGTAAATTCTCTCAGTAATCACAATGTGGTGTATATAATAAAGACTACAAAATAAATACTACAATATACTACAAGTGACGTGTAATTTGGCAAAATTGAATAAATACCAGTTTATAATCAAAAGTGTGCATGCAATACAAATTATATAAAAAAACAATTTATAGTACCTGTACTGTATATAAGAATATACTATAACAATTTATCTCATAAAAAATCAATTAAGAAAGACTAAACTTACAATTTAAAGTGGAGAGATCGTACTGCTCAGTCCGCAGAGGTTCGCGGTAGATAAGAGGCTCTAGTCCTGCGAAGTCCGCGATGGTTCCCACGTACAACTGACCATCTGGGTAAACACAATCATATTTACTGTTCCAAATATATTAATGAAAGAAATCACTAATTAGCTGAAAGACGCTCTTTATACTTATCAATCGATCCATAAGTTAACACTAAACTGAAAAAGAGCCAGTCCCTTACATGAATAAGCTGCCCACTCTTCTGAAGAAAACATATTAAATAGACTGGGTAAATTATAATAAAAAATATTAAATCGTATAAAAGGTCAATTAGATATAAAATGACACAAATAAAAGCAATGCAAACACTTTTATTTACTAAGTTTCAGCATAAAAGATAAAACAAAAAGTATTAGTTCATATCGTGACTAATATAATAAAAAATGGTAAAGGTTTACGAAACAACTATCACTAGAAGTTGTTTGTCGATTTTCTTTATTTTTGCTATACTTATTGTTTTGATGATTTTAAGTACTCTGTATATTAAAGGAAACGACAACTTTCTATTATAATTTTAAGTATTTCTTTAGATTTTTTTTCATTTACTCTATCCTACGATCTTAAATTCCTTATCAGTGGGCAGGGCATATAAGATGAGGGAAATTACGGGGTAAAAATGTGGCGAACACTGATGTTATGGTATTAAAATTGCGTTTCTAGGTGCATTTCAAATGCCAAAATCATTTTCTTACCATAAGTCAGTCCGGCTTCACAATTCCCCTACCGCCGCTATTGCTCCTCCCTATCCAACTGTATAAAAATTGTTTCATTACTCCAGATCCTTTTAATAAAATAATTACGCATCTTTATTAATTTTAGAATTACGTTGGTTGTGATTTTTCTTATCGCGAATTATCAGACCTAGTTATTGATGAATCTCGTTCGTGACAATAGTTAGGTAGGGTGTTCTAGGTTCTTTTACTTTGGTAGCCCAATATTAAGATAAGTTGTTTGTTTAACATTAATTTTCGTTAGTGACAATCGTTAGGTAGGGTTTCCTTGGCTCTTTTGCTTACTTTCGTTGGTTTAATTTTTTGGTACACACTATTAGCATAATATTAAACACATAAATTAACACGATAATGCAAGAAAACCTAATAGAATCTGACCAAATAAGTTGGGTTAGTTAGGTCAGGTTCTACTAGGTTCTATGCATTGTCGTTTCCATTTCTGTGTTTAATATCATGCTAATAGTGTACAAAAAATCAAACCAAATCGCACATTTCCTTCTGGTGATAGCTGCTTCGTAAACCTTTACCTCAAGAATTGCCAATGACTAGAGATGAGTTAGTAGGAACTGAAAAAAGGGTCAAATTTCACTTATGCAACGGTCTTTATTTGGATAATAAAAATGTGTTTATCCGATGTTATTTGACGAGTTTCAAACGAATTTGATATTCATTTCAGCAGGAAATCAATAGTTTTGAGAACCCCCCTCCTTACCCATCATTCTTAAAAATTTTTTGTTCGAGTATATCACATAAATAAAATACCAACCAACAAAACCAAACTCAACCTCAATTGACGTAAAATAATCTCTATCGCAATGTCGGCACAGCTCTTTCCACCTGTTCAGCCACATCTGGTTATTCTGGAACTGAAAAATCACATCTCCGCTCCCGACGCACCCACGCATGGTTCATTGGCTAAGACAAAACACTCTTGCCAATTATGTTTCCTTTCGCTATAGCCAATAAGAAACTAGCCCAATAAGAAACTAACTAAGGTATTATACTTTCGGACATAGCGCACCCCAAAGTTTTTAACTACTGAAACATTTAGGTTAGTTTAAGCTAGGCCTACCGGGGGCGGAGCCCTCTGGCTAGGGGTCAGGTTAAGCCTACCGGGGGTCCGGGGGCGGAGCCCCTAGCTAGGAATTAGGTTAGGTTTTGTTAGGTCAGATGACTCGTTTTCGTTTTCTTCTCCACCCCAAAAAAACGATTTCCCAGGCTCTTGTAGGGGTATCGAGATATTAATGTTGTCTAGCACTCAGGATGGAAGGAAACTCTAATGTGGTTTTCTTGTATAATATATAAGTTATATTATAGACAGTCTGGTGCTGGAGGTGCAGAATGAGAGTTGGTTGGTGAGGAAGCTCAGAGGAGGACAGCTGGTGGGTCGCCATGCTCGCTGGCGGGAGCGAGGACCGCCAGGCAGGCGAGGAGATGCGAGGGCTGCCAGGCAGCAGCAGAGGAGGAGGTGTTGCTTGTTCAAGAAGAATGGTCAGAATGAATCTCAATGGAGAGACAGAGCTTATATACCCAGCAGCCGCTATGAGTCATGTTGGGAAAACCCGAGAAGTCGCCGGTCTTTTGGCTCGGTTGCTAGGATACGGCGGCATTGGAATGCGGATACGCTTGGTTGCTAGGGAAGATGGTAGCAGGTGGTGTGCAGCTACGCAGTTTGTAGGGGAGACGTCCACTACACTCTCCCCCATTTTTGCTGGGGTGGGGGACAGAAACTAGCAATTTCTGCCAAAAATGAAGATCAGATTCGTTTAAAACACACCAAGATACACTGGAAAAATATTTTGGTCAACCCCTAGGGACTCATGTCCTAAAGTAAAAATTTACCGGAAGAGTTACTACAATGCCAACTATGCTGGTCTTTACGATATTTACACTCGTTTTTACACTTAGGACACTTTATTGATGTCGGGAGAACACCATGAGATCTAAAAATGCTATAGCTTGTTCGTTTTTTTTCTCCAAAATGCGCAATCAACTCCATATAATTGAATTGACACCCATCGCAGACTTCCATGGTCGGAAATGAATTTGAATTTCGAAATATGAGAGACCCAAAATCATAATCGAATCTGATTTGGCAAAAAAATACCGCGAATTAAACCACAATTCATTTCAATTGGTGGAAAAAAAAACGCTTTTGATTGGCCGCGTGATGTGTACAGGAACGCATGCGCATGACGATTTATGAAGGAAACACGCTGAGTGGGAGGTCGGGTAGGCTATAATGGCGGAAGATTAATGGAAGAAAATAGAGAAATATCTGGCATACGCTATCTCTGTTATTATACGTTTGCGACGGTAATGAAATAGAATAAAATTATCTTAAAATTAGACGTTTTATTCGAATAGGAGAATAGATTTGGGGTAGGAAAGTTGTGTGCACTAATACAAAAATACTGAAGTTGCAACCTAAGCTGTACGTGGCATTATTAAAGGAGCAGACTGGGTTAAATAACTTGTACAGGCTGTACTACACAAACAAGGCTGTAGCAGTATTTGGTATGACGCCAAGCGGTTGCAAATAATGCTATACAGCAAACTAAAAAATATCAACGCGGCTTGTCCGGTTATTCCACTGCCACTTTGAACAAGTAATATTGTTTGTAATTTTACCTTTTAAAATAATCGAAAAATTTAAATTTCTAACGGAAACGCTATAGAAGAAGTGTCTTAGAATTGTCTAAACTATCGATTCCAAAACTTAAAATCCTAAAATTCGCTGGATAACCGAAACGTAATTTTATCAAGAAAAAGTATTCGAATTTTTTTGATGAAAGGAGGTGGGGAGCCGTCGGACCCCTAAGACCCCCGATCCGCCACTGGTATATCGAAAAACAGTGAATCGGAATCATTTCTAGTTGACTGTATTACGATAAATTTAAACTTTCTTATTTATTGCGACAACAATTAATGGTGTTCAGGTGTGGCAGACGCCTGAACATATCCTAGGCATATTACTAGTTAGCAATAATACTATATCTCAAATAAAACCAAATTTCATTAAAGTTCAGGAATTTGTTATACATCATTCAGACGTTAGGAGATTTCAGTATACAGTATTTTAACTACCGTAGTCTATCTACCAACATCAATGCACATAACAGACAAATTATAGGAATGAATTAAACACCGATTCAAAAAAAGATATCAAAGAGTGGTTATGAACGGATTAAAATTAGATTGGGAAATGGTTACAGGTGAAGTACCACAGAGATCCATCGTGGAATTTACCCTGTTTCCGGATGATACAGTGAAGTGTAATACAGAAAAGAGCAAAACTTTGGATGTGAAAGGTGCAATAATCTAGAACACAATTACTCTACGAGCAATATTTTCCCAGTACCAATAGGTTAAGAATAGGTGCCGTAGTTATTCAGTTACTTAAAAAAGCACAGCAAGTAGGAGTAACAAGAAAAAAGCCAACCAAACTTAAGGAATCATAAATTGTACCTTTAAATATAATTAATTATATGAAAATGATATGTCATCTCCATGCACACAGTTCACGTCGAAAAGAAAACAAAAAAAATCACAGGATCACTGGGAAGAGTATCACACTGGGAGAATAAGAATTATTCCCAAAAGAAAGTAGTGTCTCTAATATCCTCGTAAGTTTTGGGACCAACAGCCCTTTAGAATCTATTTCGATTAAATCTCTTGATATCACTGGACGGACGTATGGAAGGGAAGGCTCATTACGGTTCAGTTGTACAGTATATTAATATTTATTTCTGCCCCCCATGATGGCACAAGTTTCAAATAATGAAACGTCAATGGAACTTAACAGGATTCAGATATGGGCTGAACTTGGGCGCAACACACAAAACAAAGAAGACGACAGAGGAAACCACGAAGGTAAGTGCAAAGTAATATAAAGAAACAAACATAACATGACGGATACGGAAATCACCAAATACAAGGTAAACGAAAAAGAAAAGAAAGAGGAGTCAAAGCATACGCAAGATGATAAGCCAAACGACAGATAGCAATTAATGACATAAAAAGAATATAAACGACGATTGAGTTGTTATAGGATGTAATTCACGGTAATAAAACATGTTGAGGACAAAGACAACAAAACAAACTACAGGTATTACCATAATAATAAAACAAGGAACAAACACATGTTTCTCTGACCAGCTCAGTTTGCGCCTATGGACTGGGGAAGTTCCGCCCACATAAAAAAAAAAAGACCGCAAAAATAACCCCAACGAAATAACATTAAAAAGTAAGAGAAGGGGGATAAAATAAATAACAACTAGAGAGAAAGGGGATAAAATAAATAACAACTAGAGAGA